AACTTGCCTATGGAGCCTCCAAAGAGGATTTTCCTCTACGTGGAAGTAGTCAAGTGCAAAGTTGAAGTGTGATGTCTCCACGTCCTGATCTACAAAGCAGAAAGTACACAAACTACCTGCCAGAGCCAGCCCAGAAGCTTGCACCTACTGTGCCTACCCAACAAGGACACGCTTGGAAAAAGGGACTATCTGCAAACTGTCCTGGAAAATATGCCGTTAACTGTGCTTACCATGTCCAGCTAGATAGACTTTGTCCAAATTTAGCTACACTAAGATATGCAATATGGGCAGCTGGTGCTTATAGGCATGCTCTATGCCTATTTAGTCTCAGTTTTTTTCTCCTAACTTAAAGCAATCCTTAAATCCCATTTACAAGGGATTTTTTTTCTTGCTGACTTGGTAAGCTTGTGTAGTTTTTTTTATACTGGAGGTCGGTTTGCTTGGGGCTGAACCTGAGGCGGATTCAAACATATGCCTTTGGAAACAGTTCGGTGAGAAAGCTCCATCCCATTCTACACATTTTGACTGTAAGGATGACTCACGGCTCAAATCTGGAATCCCGCATGCCAGGGCGGGCTGTGGCTTCCCCACGCCTCTGACTGTAAGTCACCTTCCTACCGAGTCTAATGTACGTTATTCTGAGGCTTTGGGAGGGTTTTCTTTCTCTGCCTTTCTGACTAACAGCCGAAGTTACTTCAGGTATTTTAAAGATTTTGACATCAGTCACATTTGGTGTTGTACCCTGGGTATATACATTCAACGGCTAATTCCATATGAGCAGGTGAAACCCAGCCGGAACTGCCGATGGCCATGTTCATTTTATTTACCGTATTAATTGTACCTTCATGGCAAGATCCAAATCCCAATTCATCCCTGGCTCCCCACTGCCACTTCCCCCTGCCAGTGCCTCACTCAGAAGGAGAGCTCAATGTAGGCTTACTGGGAACATGAAAACTAAATCACTTCCCCACTTCTATTTTTTCCTCCATGCAACAAAAAATATAGGGTGTTAGATCAGTAGAGTTTTATCCTCCCGGCTTTCGAATTTCAGGATTATAGAATTAAGGTGCATAAAAAGGAGAAAATCTTTTGGATATAATAGCTCTAATTTACAGTTCTACTTGAACTTGCCACCAAATCTTGATATAATTCAGGACTCCGGCCACCACCAGACCATCCCACACCCGCCTAACGGGACAGCATGAGTGGTGTACCAATTCCCGGGTAATTCACTTTGGTAGGTGAAGATCCAGAGGTAGCACTAAACCAGACCCCCAGTGTCAATGACTGGTACAAACACTAATACTTGGTCCTTTCCAGCCAAACACACAGCCGGACAGGCTATTACAGCAAATGGCCCTCTATCTGGAATCCATAATACATGCAAAACAGTGGTTTCCAAAACTTCGGAACTGAGTTCCTTATCACTCAGGGATCCCCTCTCTTCTGACTGCTCCACCGCCAACAATCTGTGCAGTCAAAGCAAGCTCCCTGAGGGCAAGAGGCATCTCTGACTATGTATTTAATAGTGTCAAATGGGCAAGCCCTTCTAGAACGTTCCTTCACACTGGCGCAAACCTGAAGGTCTCATTTATCTCGCTTCCAGACTTTTGGTCTGGAACACATGGCGTGTCTTTCCGTTTGTGTTTTACTTCCTAATATTACACAGACGCCTCAAGTCATCAGAAACAGACGGGCAAGCAGCAAGAACACTAAGGCACTCATGGAATTCTCATCTATGCTCTGCAACTAACCAAACCACCATCTCAACTTTCCCCCAGTGAGCCTTCTCTGTTGTTACATTTTATTATAGAGCAATTTGGACTTGTGAAACAGGCAGCCTGGGGGGGGGAGGAGAACATGAGCTGAGGAGCCAGGCAGTCCCGGGTTCCAGTCCCAGTGCCATCACACGTGGCCTAGAACAAACCAATGAAGTTCTTGGAGCCTCCATTGTCTCATCTGCAAAATGGACATAATACCACCTGCTTCCCGGACATGCTGCAAATAAATGAGATACTGTATGAAAAGCACTTGGCATACAATAATTGCTCTCTCTATATATAATTGCTATATATATATATCTCATATCAGATTGTATGCATATATATTAGTATTTTTGAAAGCTTTTAGTAAGCTATCCTTCATGTGGTTAGCCTGCCATGACCAAAAAAAAGTACCAAAATATGATGACAATAAATATTGCTACACCAAAAGGGAAATATATGAAAGAAAAGGGATAACTGAAAATCATAATGAACAGAATATTTTACTGAGAGTGTTATTTTTTAGTCCAACTGCAATATGTGGGCATGTCACTAACCTTCCCACTGCAGTGGGAAGTGTTCTAAGTACCCTGCCATGTTTACGGGACTCCAGTACCTGATGTCTGTCACTTAGACATGGCCAAGAATCCCAATGGGATAAATGCTCCTTAGACTAATGTCATGAGATCATCCTTTTACACATTAACAAAGCCTGTCCTGAGCACTTGGGCACGTAGAATGGGGATGGGAAAGACAAAAGACGTTTCCTCCCACCCCTGGTTGGGGGTTATGACGTAGTCCCTGGCACACCCTCTGAGTCACCCTTTAGGATGATGGGGTCAGCCCCACGCTATCCCATGAATTTAAGTGAGCCTTTTTTATTACAGTTAGCTAAAGAATAAGGAATCCAGTATTGGTTATTGCCCTGAGACTGCTTCTAAGCCCCATTATAAATTTCTTCTTTTTTTAAACAGCCATACTTCAATTCTCAGGTCTTCAGTTGCAAATCCAGTGCACAGTTTTTAGGTAAACTGAGTTTGATGATTTAAGAAAAAGGAGCTGGAGCTGGGCGTGGTGGCTCAGGCCTGTAATCGTAGCACTCTGGGAGGCTGAGAAGGGAGGATCATTTGAGCTCAGCAGTTCGAAACCAGCCTGAGCAAGAAAGAGACCCCGTCTCTACTAAAAATAGAAAGAAATGAATTGACCAACTAAAAATATATAGAAAAAATTAGCCGCGCATGGTGGCGCATGCCTGTAGTCCCAGCTATGTGGGAGGCTGAGGCAGAAAGATCGCTTGAGCCCAAGAATCTGAGGTTGCTGTGAGCCAAGCTGACGCCACAGCACTCTAGCCTAGGCAACAGAGTGAGACTCTGTCTGAAAAAAAAAAAAAAAGAAAGAAAGAAAAAGGAGCTGGTCCCAGTTAGTTAAGGCAACCTACCCCATGATCACATTGAGACTTTCCTTTAAGCACCTATCTCACGATAAAAGGTAACATATTAATAAACGAAATATTGCACAATGCCTTGAGATTTAATCTGGGAGTGGACTCCAAGAGGAGTATAATAATCAGATGTGGTGAGGCACCCAACATGTGGTAGGTTAGAGTAGTGGATCAAAACCCGTACAAAAGGAAACTCGATAGATCTAACGCCACTGATACTAGAATCAGTGGGCTTAGATGGATTTCTTTCTACATCAAGACTGTCGATCCAGGTTCACTGCCCCAAGAGACGTCCCTACTGCTTACCATCAACCACATTTGTTTCAAAGATACAAACCTTGACTTTGCCATTACTATAAATGGGTAGAAAAGAGTTTCCAAAGGTCAAGGTAGGGAGATACTGATAATAAATTCAATTAAACATGAGGAAAAAAAGAGTCTCTAAAGGAGACTGGGACTTGCCTCATTATAAATGCCAACAGCAACAAACTTTTCTTTAGTCTCCCTCTTCCTCTTAAAACACACACACACACAAGGAACCAGAGTGTCTGTAGGATGAATTCTCAGACCATAGCAACTGCAAGGCCCCGAGATCTGAGAGGTTCTTGGCTGGCCAGGAGTTAAGCCCTTTTGGAGAAGGAGACAGGGAGCCTGCCTTTTCCCTTACACAGCCCTACCATGAAAACAAGCTCTTGTTTTTTGTTTTTGTTTGGTTTTTAACTAAGAATCTCCATCCTCCCTGCAGGGATAAAAGATAGGCATGAGAAGCTTATAGTGCCTCAAAAGGGTTTGATATCAAATTTTTTTCCACCCAACTTAACCCTTCACTCCAATATCTGCAAATAAGGGGAAGGGATTTGGGGAAGGTTGAGGGTAAGTTTGGGGTCAAGGGTGGTTTCAGGCTTGGACCAGGTAAGTAATGGAGGACTTATGCATAGGGCATGCCCAGAGGTGGATGAGGCTTGAGTGATGAAGGAGCCTGCACCACCCTGCGGGGTCACCTGCCTAGTCACAGGTAAAGGAGGAATAAGAAAGACTGGAGAAAATTCATCTTCCTTTTATAAAGATCTCTTGCCCCCTCCCCCCACTGGAGTGCCAGCGAGCCGGCTGGCTGGGAGCCGGCGCTTTGGAGGCGCCTGAGAGTGGATGTAAGGGTTCTGTCCGTCTGGCGTGCAGAAACTGGGACCCACCCGAGCCAAGAGAGGGTAGAGAGGGTGAAGGGGTGGAGGAGGGGGCGGCTTGCGCCCTGCTGCGGAATGCACGGCGCGGAAGCACCCGGAGGTCCCCAGTGCCCGGCGCGCGCCGGTACCACTCGGTCTCACTGCGGTAGCATCCCGACATGACACTGCAGCTGCAACAAAGCGGCCGCCGCCGCGCGCCCTCGGCGCCCTACCCCGCAGCCCCTGCCCCACACCGCGCGGAGGGGGCAGCAGCCATCGGTGTGGGGCTGTGGGAGTGGGGAGGGGGTACTGGGTAGGCCGAGTAGGGGCGAAAGCCCTGAAATGCGCAGGACGCCGGGCGGCAACCTCTAGCGCCTCCTCCAGCGCAGCCAGACTGCAAGGAAAACAATTCGCCTTCATTCCCGAGCTTCGGCTGAGCCCTGCGATCCCCCCTAGATGACCTAGTCGGGGCTCTCCGGTGTGTCGCCTTCCCTTGCGACGCGCCCCCCACGCCCCTCCAAGCCAGCCGACCAGCCACGCGCCTCCCGGAGCCCCGGCCCGAGGACCCGCCCCGCTCCCCGGCAGCGGCTCCGGCCCCGGCGGGGCCGCCGCCCCCGGTCCCTCCCGAGCGCTCACCAGGAGAAGGGAGCCCGCGATCATCGTGGCTCGGGCTGGGCGGGCGAAGCGGCTGCAGGAGGCGAGGGTGGTGCTGCTGCTCGCGGAGGTCCCCATGGCTGAGCCGGGGGCTCGCAGGGGCGCACGGCCCCGCGGCAGCTGGAATCGGCGGCTGCTTCTGCCCAGCGCCGCATCCACCGCCGCCTCCCGGGCCGGGAGCCCATCTACCTCCAACAGCCCATGTGCACTGCGGCAGCCCGCAGCCGGGCAGGGGCGGGAGGCGGCCGGGGAGGCTCAGAGGGCGCTCAGCACCTGCCCAGCGGCGCGGCCGCCCGGGCGGGGAGAAGCAGCCGCGGCTGCAGCCCGCGCCCCCCGGTGCTCTCCTCCGACGGCCGCTGCGGAGAACCAGGGAGGAGGGCTGCGCGCGAGACAGCGAAGGAGCAACTTCCCATAGCGAAGCTTCCAGCCGCTGCCAGCCGCCCTCCTCCGCTGCCCGGACCGGCCGGCGAGGGACTGAGTCGGGTGGCCACCGGGCGCGGGGACACACGTGGTGGCGCCGAAGGGGCGGGGGACCGGCCCTTTGTGATGTCACCCGAGAGGAGGCTGGGCTCTTTGTGCGTTTGGAAAGGGGAAGTGGTTCCAGGTGGAGCGGCGGGGAGGCAGACAGTGCCCCTTGGCGTTCGCTGAAGAAACTGCATTTGCTTGTTGAGCAGGGAAAGCGCCGCGAAAGCATGCATGCACATCCCCGACCTAACCTTACTTCTCGTTTCCGAGGTAATTCTAAGTAAATTATTTCTACGCCTGACTCCTCTCTCTTGTTCCTGGCACAATTATTAAAAACAACCAGTGACCACAGAGCACTTAGATCAACTGCGTGACCGCAAAGAGACTTGCGTGTTACTCCTTAAACTCTGCTGTGCTTTGCAATCACCCCGGAGAGTTTAAAACATACATGTTAATTCCTGGGTCTCACCTTCAGAAATTCTGATTTAATCGGGACAGAATGTGGCCTGGCCTAAGCAATGGAATTTTTTAAAGTTCCGGAGGTGATTCTAATATAGAAGACTTTAAGACCCTCTGGAGTTTGCGGTCAGCTGGGCTAATGAATGCAATTGAGGAAATCCAGGACAAAAGGCTTCCAACCCCAGAGCCGCTGGTGTTTGGGTCCGTGAATGGTCTTGGAGAGAACTTGGGACTCCTTATAATGTATGGACAAATGCATTTTCCTAATTAAAGAATGCAGAGTTTTGAATCCGATGATCACAAAAATTGTTAAAAATCACCCCTCCTTCCAAATATAGTGTTAAAAGTTTTTGGCTGGGCGTGGTGGCTCATGCCTGTAATCCTAGCACTCCGGGAGGCCGAGGGGGGAGGATCGCTCAAGGTCAGGAGTTTGAAACCAGCCTGAGCAGAAATTAGCTGGACAACTAATATATATATATATCTTTTTTAAAAATTAGCCAGGCATTATCGCACATGCCTGTAGTCCCAGCTACTCTGGAGGCTGAGGCAAGAGGATCACTTGAGCCTAGGAGTTTGAGGTTGCTGTGAGCTAGGCTGACGCCACGGCACTCTACTCAGGGCAACAGAATGTGACTCTATCTCAAAAAAAAAGTTTTTGATTTGGGTTCCAAAAGGCTTGGTGGGATGTGGGTGGATAGAGAGAGGTAGAGCTCTGCTTCACAAGAACAACTGGAGTGTTCTCTTGGATGGTTGGCATCTCTCACACTTCTGTATGTGGAGAGAGGCCTGTTATCCCTCTTTTTGCTTCTCCTGGGGGAAGACAGAGTCTCCTGACTGTGGCCACCATTTCTGGTATGGTGTTGCCCATCACCTAGGTACTGACAGCACATGACACAAGGTACTGAAATTACCAGATGAAGCTACCTGGTTCATAACACTCAACTGTGAGGCCTATTGTGCTGGGCTTATTCTAGCTTTCTCCGGACCCTTCTACTTCAAAGGAAACACTTTTTAAATTATTTGCTTCAAGATCCAACAGCCAGTGCTCTTGAAGGTAACCTACTAAAGCGGAAGTGTCAATTGTTTGTTTTCTTATTAATTAGCAAGCCGTTGGTGCTTTGTTCTGTGCACACTTTGGAAGAAGCTAAAATTCATATGAGGATTAATTCCAGTCTATTCTTTCAAACACCTGTCAGTAAAAAAAAAAAAAAAAAAAAAGGATTATCCATAAATGTTAGAGTGAAGGAAAAAGCCAAAAGGCATAACCTGAAGTGAAATTCAAAAAAGTTGTAGAAAATATTACCATTAATATAAAGTTTTCAGGAGGAGGGGGATGCTTGGATTTGAAACTCTCAAGCTATTTCTAGAGCTGAAAGAGTTAAGGATATGTGCTGTGTTTCCAAGCACAATAGTTTCGCTTATTTCTTCAAAAATTCAAATAACTGTCAATGCTATTATGTGGTGTCTTTTAAAAAATTACATAGGTGTTAAAATAAGGTAGTTTTAAAGCAGCTTTTAGTTAGTTCATTTTATTCCTTACATCCAAACTGACATGTCTCAAGTTAGTATCTGATTAATTTGCTCCACAGGGTTGGGCAAGTTTATAGTTTGGGTGACTATGCAAGTATGAGGAATCCTTCTCAACTATTCATCTTCCTAAATCCTAAAAAAAAAAATTGACGTGTTCCTGTACCACTTTCAAATTCCATGAGTTCCAGGTGTGGCATTGATCACATCAAGTTGAAACTGAATAGACATTTGAGAGATTTAAAAAATCACTCAATTGTGTTTACTATTAATATTTAAATGTCCCTCTATATGAGTGATAAATAGATTAGGGTTTTCTTTTGGAGGTGTCCTTTCACTGCGATTTTTCATGTATCTGGAGATTTTTCACAGATTTCGTCTCATCTGGAGCAGCTTTTGCTTCTTATTTTTGGATTTTCTTTTAATTAGACAATTAAAAGAAATTTAATCTCTGAGACAGAGTGTGGTGCTTGTGAGTGACAATCAACCACACTCTGTATGATTGAGTCAGTAAATGCTGTAAAGGGCATGCAAATTGACCTCCTGGTCAGTAGGTGGCACTTGCCAGAAGGAACAAGCTGCAGTGTTGTTTTTGGGTCCTTTGACAGGCTCTAGTCCCTCCAGAGAAGCACTTGATTGCCCCAGGTAGTGGTGGGGCCCTGGGATTTCAGGCAAGTCCTTACTCTCTGCCACAGCAGAGACAGGTCGGGGAGTGTGGCAAGGGATCTGCTTCAGCAGGGACCAAAGGTCTGCTCCCACCTTCTAGGCAGAGCTGCCAGGGAGGGGCTGTAGTGGCCTCACCCAATCACAAATCTCCCCTCCTTGCCTCCGAGCAATGTGATTGAGACCTGGGGATACAGGAATGTGGCCTGTGGGCCTGTCCCCAGTCCTGAAGATCAATCCCTGACCATGCCAGGAAGAAGCACGCTGGTGCTGAGTTGCCCATGGGGTGCCCAAGCAGGTTCGATGTCCCTCTGCCTTGGGGTGTGCCCTGCACTGATGGAGTCACTGGGCAAGCAACACCAAGGAGGGCCAGTGGGTAGGGAGCTCACAGTCTAAGCACCTGTCAGTCCCCTGCAGGATCCCTAGCGGAAAGGTCTGAACTCCACTCTCTGTGGAAGGCCCAGTGTGGTGGGTGCACCAACAGAGAAGAGAAATAGTTCCTGCAAGCCCTGGCTCCATCGTCTCTCAGCAGCCACAGGTAGAACAGGGGAAGGGCAGAAAAAGAGTCTGGGTGGAAGAAAGCTAGAACTCTGGTCATCTCTGTCCCTCTCTCCAAAGGCAGCTCACCCAGAATATCCAGGCTCTGGGGTCACGCAAATCCCCTGGGACACACCGGTCCCCTGTGGCTCTTGCAGACTGCGCCAGAGTTGGGAACTGTTTGTGTGGGAACGAGCAAGCTGAAAACTGAGGGGGTGAGGCCCCCTGGAGAGGACAGAAGTGCATGATGGGTGGAGAATCAGGATGGCGCTTGCTCTCCCTGCTCAGGTCTGCGGTGACGGGAAGTGACCTCTAGGGCGCTGGGTGCGTGGTGCTTCGTCCTCATGAAGATCCCAGTTCATGTGGCAGCAGCTTCTGGGCTTGTGAGGGTGGAAGAGCTGTCCAGCAACTCACCGACTGCCAGAGATGTCAGGGAGGGAGAAAGGAGCCACTTCACCTACGCTTCTCGCTGGACACTGAGCCTCTCCGGGGTTGATCTCTGCCATTATCTTTTTTTTTTTTTTTTTTTTTTTGAGACAGAGTCTCGCTTTGTTGCTCAGGCTAGAGTGAGTGCCGTGGCGTCAGCCTAGCTCACAGCAACCTCAAACTCCTGGGCTCAAGCGATCCTTCTGCCTCAGCCTCCCGAGTAGCTGGGACTACAGGCATGCGCCACCATGCCCGGCTAATTTTTTTCTATATATATTAGTTGGCCAATTAGTTTCTTTCTATTTATAGTAGAGACGGGGTCTCGCTCTTGCTCAGGCTGGTTTTGAACTCCTGACCTCGAGCAATCCGCCCGCCTCGGCCTCCCAGAGAGCTAGGATTACAGGCGTGAGCCACCGCGCCCGGCCTCTGCCATTATCTTGCTCCTTCATGTTCTGCTCCTAATCCTGAGGGCTAGAAGTCCAAGATCCAGGTGTCAGCGGGGTCGGTTTCTTCTGAACCTCTCTCCTAGGCTTGCAGATGGCTGTCTTCTCTTCTCCCTATGTCCTGTCTCTCTCCTGTTATTTCTGTTTCTATTCTAGATTATAGATCATTTGAATCTAGAGGAAGTGTGAAACTTTATTGCTTTGAATTAAAACATGTAAATGCCTTCCCTTTAGAAGTAAAAAATGCTTCAACCATTGATTAACTCACCATCACTTTTTTTAATATGGTAACTTAGACATGTTTATTTCTGGGAAAGAACAAAAATTCAATGATGCCTATAAGGGAATTTCTTCCCAAGTTCCAAGGAAAGGAAAGATGTGTTGATAAATTATAATTACAGCTAAAATCAAAAGGCTTACAGCAGCAAGGTCTAAACAGGTAAGACCAATCTCATCTTTGCTGTAAAATCACTGATTCCAACCCCCACCCTAACTCTGGACTTTCTCTGTTTCTGGCAATGCTGTACAATTCTCCTATTTTTCCAACCTCAAAATCATTGCTAATTCTTTCCTCTCCCTTAGTACATTTCCAATTAGCCTACTTTTTCTGTACCTCCATTTTTTCCATTTGCTCTTTCTAGTTAAAAACCTGGTATTATATATCTGGACACTGAATATATCACCAGAATTACCATCTTGCCTCGAGTGTTGCCTTATTTCTTTACTTAGCTTGCACACTTTGGGAAGTCCTAGTAAAATTTCAATTTTTAAAAATGTAAGTACCCATTTTTTGATCACGAAAATAATCTTTGTCCACATTCTGAGAAGTGACTGGTGTGTGACCAACATCTTAAGCAGATCTATGGAGGAAGGACAGGAATAGGAGTGAACACAAGCTCACAGGGAGGAAGAATATGAAACATGTCTAAGCATCAGCAGGATCGTTTCATTTCAACGTGTACTGTGTATCTACATAAATATCTACCATGTGCTGGGCATTGTTGGGTAGTACAGATCCAATAACATCTGCCTTTGAAGGATATGGTCTTCAGTCTCTGGAAGGGAAAGGTAAAAAGATGACTAAAGTAGTGCAGCTATAATACAGGTATGAAAGCAAGAGACTGCCATTCTCCCCCATGATAAATACACACCTGTTTTCAGCTCATCACATGGCTGCCCAGAATAAAAAACTGCATTTCCCAGCCTCCAGTGATGTTAGGTGTGGCCATGTCACTCATGTCACTAAAGCTCTGGCCAAGCAGAATTGCCCTGTGTACCTTCTGAGAAGTCTTCCCGTTGGCTAGGACTTAGTTATCCGTCAACCCTCTCATTCATTCAATGTGTCTCCAAGACCTGCTAATTCTATCTCTATCAGCTGTCTCCCCTGCCCCTCCACTATTTCCCTTCTGCTGTAGTCTAGGCCTCTTGCCTAGATGATTACACAAACCTCATGATTGGTTTCCTTGCTTCTAGTTTTGCCTGGACCATCCAGTCCTGCAATAAATCTCTTCTTCATGAGCTAAGGAAAATGAGCTATTTACAATCCACATATGAACATGTCCTTCCCTCACCAAAAGCCCAGCAAAGCTTCCTCATTATTCTCAATTTGAAGTTCAAAGTCCTAATAAAATCACCCATATTCTCATCACTGTTTGTGATTCAACCCTTTCATTGCTACAAGGTATTGAGTAAACATGCACAAATATGGTGTGGAGAGCCTTTACTTCCAATTTCCAGTTTAGTTTTTCCTCTCCACTGCCTGCCAATCCCTGCAAACCCCTATCTCAGATTCCACATGCTAATGTCACTAGATTGTCCTGCTCCCTACCTACCTTTCCTCTTTCATACTTCTAAGCCTTTGTTAGGAGTTGTTTTCATTTCCCTTCCTCTGCTTATTGAATCCCTGTGGATCAACACTTTAAGAACATGCTCAAATGACACCTCACCTGAGAAGCCTTTCCTAATGTTCTCTCTTCACCTTGTCTGCCTGCATTTGGAATTAGTTGTTCTAGTTTTTTTTCACTCGATTATAGCATGTATGACGTTATGCAATAGTTACTTATTTCTGTGTGTCTCCAGCCAGACTTTGAGCTCTTTAAAGGCAAAGTCCATGTCCTTATCATCTTCGTATTTCCATTGTCAAGGTTTGAGATATTACCTAGCTCAGTAAATATTTGTTGAATGAAACAAACTTGGAAAGTTAGACAAGCAATGGGACAGTTAACACATCCAACATGCCTTTACTTTGTTCAAGCCTTAATTTCGGACATTCCAAGCTGTATTATACAAACAATAAGAGGCTTAATATTTTGTATTTCTAAAATGCCATATCCTGGACTTGGGTTAAACAATTTGTCAGCAGCTCTTGTTCCTTAAAAGAATTCATTTAAGAACCTGCTGTTCTTTGGCCTAAGAAGGAATATCAGCCATTCGCAGCAGATTGCAAAATTAAGTGCATGAGCATGAGTTTGATCAAGTCTCCATGGTGATATGCTACAAAGACGACACTCTCAGATAAGATCACATGGGGACTGAGTTGCAAAGCAGGCAGTTTCAGAAGCTTCCTTCTCTCTTGGACGATAAGAGAAAATGATTTAAAAAATAAGATGGCCAATCCCTTGAAGATATGATACCTCTGTCTCACTCTTCAGAGCAGCAAGGTGATTAAATTATTTCCCATCCCTAAGAAAAGAACCTGCAAAAGGCATAGCACTATGGAAAGGAGAGCTCACCTTGAATTGCCGCCATGAGCCTAGGAGTCTGCACCTGTAATGTTTTCATTTTGCCATAAGCTCTTCCCTCTCACTGACTTACCATTTCTCTCTTTAAGAGGAGAGTTGGCGTGAAGATAGACCTTGTTCTTCACCACCACCACCCCCAGCCCTTGCTAAAAGATAGAACCTTTAATAGTTTAATTGGAAGACAGTGGGTTTGGGCATCCACCAGATATTGGATCAAATCCCCATTAATACTATTATTAACTGGGTAGGGTTGAGCAAGTATCTTAATCTTTTGGTGTCAATTGTAAGACAGTTAAGAATTATCTCACAGTGGTGACATGAGGAATAAAATGTTGCTATTGCTAACATTGGGGTTGGCCTTTTCAGTCCTTGATTTTGACCTTTTTGATGACCTGATTTGAAACCCAAGGCCCATTTTATACCCTCCACATGTCAAAGATGAACCCCTGAGCCCTCTGGCATTTCAGCTGCAACAGGCAAGGCTGAGCTACCCTAGAGGGCAGGAAGTCCATTCAAGGCCTTGGACCAGAAAGAAGGCATGGCAGCAATGGCGTGAGAGCTGGTCCCCCGGGGGCAGGTGGGCAGACTGCCCCTTGTTTGCTCTGTTTTGTTCCTTAACGCTCCCTTCAATCATATGCTCCCAACTTCTTCCAAACTCCTCCCTCTCTCTTACCTCTCGCCCCTTTCCCCTCCTAAACTTGTGAACTCCTCTCCACACCCAAATGCCAAGAATGTGAATTGTGTAAAAAGTCAAAAAAATATGAGAAGTAAACAAAACCACACAATGGAGAAGAATGCAAAATTGCTTTGCAACTAGAAGAGGAAAAAGCAAATCCTCTAAGATCCTGTTCTGTGGTGGTGACTCAGATGTTGGGGCTTGGGAAGGGGTGGGTCATTTCAACTCTCTCCGGGAGGTGAGCTTGTCCAGTGCAGAGACTGTGATCCTGAGAAGTGATAACTTGCCCAAGGCAAGGTACTCTGTGATACTGTGATATAATAAGAAATACCTACTATTTGATCTCTGCCCCAGATTCCTGAGACAGAGCACCTAAAACCCTGTAGATAGGAGTGCTAGAGGGATATTTTGTTCTTATTTGGTCTTTGACCCCAAGGTGCCTGACACAGAGCCCCTAAAATCTCTGTAATTTCCTTAGTGATAAGAGAGTCTGACACAAAGCTCCTAAATCCCTTGGAATTTCCTGAGCGATAGGAACATCTTTTATTCATGTGATAAATGAATAAATGAATTCTGGTGGGCTCCTGGATAGCCTCAGCATGGGGGCTGGTTGCCAGAAAACCTAGCAAGTGATTAGAGGGTTGGAACTTCCAGCCCCATTCCCTGACCTCAGGAAAAAAAGAGAGGGGCTGGAGGTTGAGTTGATCGCCAGTGGCCAATGATCATACCTATGGAAGGAGCCTCCATAAAATTCCAAAAGGATAGGATCTGGAGAGCTTCCAGGTAGCTGAACATGTGGAAGTTCACGGGCTTGGAAGCTCCATGCCCCTTTCCTGGTGTTTTGCCCTGTGCATCTCTTCCATCTGGACGATCATCTCTATCCTTTGTAATATCCCTTGTAATACATGAGTAAACATAAGTACAGCCTATCCCTGAGTTCCGTAGGCCTTTCTAGCAAATAAACCAAAACCAAAGAGGAGGAACTCTGATTGACAGCTGGTCGGTCAGAAGTATAGGTGACAACCCACTCCTTGCGACAGTGCCTGAACCTGTGGGGCAGTCTTGTAGGGCTGAGCCCTTAACCGATGGGATCGTAACTCCAAGTAACAAGTGTCAGCATTGAATGGAATTATAGGACCCCTAGCTGGTGTTCACTGGAGAATTGCTCGCTTGGTGTATGAGGAACATTCCCCACGTACATTTTGGTGACACCCTTCCCCAAAGGTGAAGTATTCCATACTGAGTGTGGGAGAGTAAGAAAAACACTTTGTTTTTCATCAACACACCCAGAGCCATGGGGGAAGGGAGGAGGCCTATCAGTCATGCCTCTATGGCACCCAAGAGGGCTTCCTAGCAGAGGTGACACACGAGCAGGCTATGGCTGAACGCAGTATGGCTCTCTGAGACAGGGAGAAGGCCATCTGTCTCTGCCATCAGTGGAGCAGCCGAACAAAGATGTAAAGTCCTCCAAGACTCTCCCTGATATTGTTGGCAAAACTGCTTGGCGGGTTTCAGCCTAGGTCCAGTCGCTCATGGTACAAAGATCCAACTATTGAGACAACAAGGATTGCCAAGGAAGAAAGGAATTTTTTAAATATGAAAGATGTCTTGTCTGGAGAGGGAAAAGCTGCCTCAAATCCATTGTCTCCCCAACAAAAGACGAACCAGAGATCATGGGCATTTTAAGGAAGGGCCATGAGCCTTGGAGCAGTTCAGTGGTGCAATTAACAAGGGGCTGGGGCTGGGCGTGGTGGCTCACACCTGTGAGACACGCCTAGCCTCTGTGAGGCCAAGTCAGGAGGATCCTTTGAGCTCAGGAGTTTGAGACCAGCCTGAGCAAGAGCAAGATGCTGTCTCTACGAAAGAAAGAAAGAAAGAAAGAAAGAAAGAAAGAAAGAATTTGATCAAATAATACTTATTGTTTATGTGAAAATATCACATGTACTCATCAATATGTACAGCTTATTATGTATTCTTAATAATTTTTAAATTTGACTTTAAAAAAGTAAAGAGATAAAATGAAATCACTTCTCAAAGTAGGCTCCCTTCCAAGGTGGAAACAACTGAGTGTTGACTCACAGATTTTTCTCCATAGTTGGGAAGTGGGTCCTGGGCATTGTCTGTTCGTCATGGTGGCTTCTTTAAACTGATGTCAAAGATACCTTTTTCACCTTAAAAATGTTCATGCCCTTTGGCCCAGTATTTCTAGATCTGGGAATCCTATCCTAAGGAATAATAATCAATGCGAGAATAAGAATTTGTGCAGAAGAATAGTTATAGCATCATTGTAATAGTAAAACGTTAAAACAACCCAAATATTAACAGAAGGGAATGAATTAAATTATGTTGTATATTGAAGAGATGGACTGTTACATAGTTATCCAGAATAATATCTTTTGAGAATGCCATATTTTTATGTTTAGTTACATAAAATCTTGTAATACAACATGAAGTTAAGTAGAATATTAATACATGACACGTTCATATACAAGCACATACATATTTCTGGAATTTTATTTCAGACAAATGCAAAATGAATGTAAAATCAAAATATTTACAACGGATATCTCTATGGCTTGCTTCTCTCAGTATAGGATACCAGCTGGCATTTGGTTTTTTGTTTGGTTTTTTTTTCAGG